TTGGCCAAAAATTTTATCTATTTCGATATAAATATTTACCTATTTGTCCGTAGTTGTTATTGACGGTGACAAAAAGCACTAAACAAACTAAATGAGGTGACATCGCTCGATATCGCGTTTGTTTATTAAATTCCAATCGGGCGGGATGTATTTAATTACGATATAATGATGTGATGCATTCATAACAAGATTGGATTATCCAGAATTCGAACTTTTGCGAATTCAATATTAAAACTGGAAATTTGAAGCATGCACTAAATTAAATTAATACTTCTATATTTATTTATTCGTAGATTTCGATAGGATGGGCGATGTGCAGCCCAGATGCATGTTCATCGGATGATCTAAACATAATGATGGCGTTGGCACAACTGCCAATTGAATTCTCTGAAGTTTATTGTCACGATCCAAGCATGGATCCGGAAATTACCGGTGGAGATATAGCTGTTATGTAAGTGAATACTCTTTATCAACAGAAAAAAACAAATTCTAAATTTATTGAAATCGAATAGTTGAAATGGTCATTTTTTTAAATATTAATGCTTCATCTGTGATCTCTTCTAGAGTATGTTTTGGAATAATTTTGGGAATAATGGTAGTATCATCAATCTATGACGTTTATCTCAGATATTTCGAGAAAAGTACGATTATTCGCAACTATACTCAATTATTTAAAATTTAGTAATATATTTACATTTATTTTATAGAAACAATTCACCCCATACTACTGGCGTTTTCTGTTGTGACCAACGGTGAGAAACTCTTTGCAAGCACAGAACCTGGTACAAACACAGGCCAACTGGAATGTATCTCTGGTATTCGTTCAATAAGTATGATGTGGGTTCTCATTGGTCATGTCTTCATCAGTAGCCCGATGGTGGCAGTAGCAAATGTGTTGAACATCGTAAACGTAAGTTTTGCCCATTTTTCTATAATCTACTAATGAATAAATTTACTTAAACATTAAATTTTAATTATTTTTTATTTTAGTTTTTCACTGATGGTTGGACAATGTACATCCGCGGGGCTACAGTCTCCGTAGATTCATTTTTTCTAATGGGTGGTATTGTGATGATCTATGTCTATTTGAAATCAACAAAAGATAAACAAACTTTCAATGTTTTCTTCTACTATTTGCATCGTTATCTTCGGTAAGTTGTCGCCGACAATTTAATATAATTTCATACACATTTATATTAAGAGTATGCTCATCTCATTTTATTATCATGAGTACTTCGGCAGTATTTACACGCATCAAGGATCATAAATGATTCCGCATTTGTTCTTTCGAAAAAAAAAGTTGTATTATTTACTAAAGTTTTAATTTCTTTTGTAGTTTAACTCCAGCTATGGCCGCTGTTATTGTTGTACACGTCACAATTCTTAAACATTTTGGATCTGGACCTTACTGGCCTAAGAACGGTGGTGCTAACGAGGCCTGTAAGAAATATTGGTGGAGTATGTTGTTATACATTCATAACTACGTGAATCCCGAAGAATGGGTAATTTTTGTTTCTTTAATTTTTTTTTGTAGTTCGAGTACAGTACTTCAATCATTAAACATTTATATTTTCTAGTGTATTGGACAAAGTTGGTATTTGCAAGTGGATATGCAACTGTTTCTTCTTTCGCCACTTATCCTGTTTCCAATCAAACGTTGGCCAAGAATTACACTTGCTGCAATTGTTGTAGCTGCATTGGCGTCCATTTCTACTAGTTTTGCAGTGGCGTGGGTCCATAAACTGACTGATATGAATTCAATGTAAGTTCAGTCAATTAAAACATCAAATGAATCAAAACTGATTTTTATATTTTTATTAATAGAAATCTAGATAATCCAAACGCATTGACTGACTATATGACAATCTATTACACCGCTACTTATACTCGTGCGGCCCCTTGGTTAATTGGCATCATAGTTGGTTACTACATTTATAAAATCAAAGTTGTACAAAAAGGAGAATTTAAAATGAGTAGAGTAAGTTGATGTTACTAATACTAAAACTAACATATTAAAAAAAATTATTTAATGTTTTATAATTTCAATTTCAGTTGTTAAACATATGCCTATGGGCCGGATCATTGGCTGTTATGGCTACATGCGTTTTTGTAGATAAAATGCAAGATGAATATGATCGTCTTGCAATGTCATCCTACATCGCTTTCGTTCGTCCTGCATGGTCTATTGCGCTTTCTTGGTTAATATTTGCTTGTGTAACTGGATACGGTGGTAAGTAAATACCCAATATATAATTTATATACCTTGAAACACTTTGTATAATATGCAATTTTTAAGGTCCTGTAAATGCGTTTTTATCATCGAGGGTATTCCAAGTATTGGCACGTCTTACCTATTCGATGTATCTAACCCATTCCTTAGTCCTTCTAGTTTTGTATATGTCAATCAAACAGCCACTACTGTTCTCAAACGCACACGCTGTAAGTACCGCCATTTATTGTCAAATAGGATTAATTTACTAATCACGATTTTATTGGTTATAGATGTATGAGTTCTGGTCCATCTTTGCTCTAGTATTTGCAATCAGCGTTGTATGGACTTTGGTGTTTGAATCTCCGGTTATAATCATTGAAAAACTAATTTTTGGTCGTGGCGGTTCTAAAAGACCAGTAAGCGACAAACCAACAAGCAAAGCCATTGATGTGACTGAAAATATAAATAGTCATATTGGTAGCCCATCAAATATAGAAAATAGGAATGTGGAAAGTGGTTTACACCATCGTTTGAGTGGAACATTGAATAATCCACATGGCGTTGTTAACGCTGGCTATGTTGAAGAGAAACCAAAACAAAGTGACATGTCTATAATTTTTTCTTAATATTATTAGAGAATGAACAACACTGTAAATATTAATTTTAATATAATACTTTGAGACTGCTAGAAATGTAGAAATTATAATTTAATAATATTTTTTTATAATAATTAAATAATAAAACCTAAATGGATAATAAAGCATATATGAACTAATTAATTAAAGATAATTTCTTGATGTGAGTATTTATCAGTTTGTATTTTTGCATATCATCATCATTAAAAATATATATTTGGGGGTGAAAATAGAAAAAGGCTTGTAGTATCAGTACCTTATAAACCAAAGTTGTGAAACTGATTTGCATCATAATTCGAACGCAGCAGAAAATAAATAATATTGTGTCGTTAATTATGGTTCAGTTCAAAGAATACAATACCAAATGCTATTTTTGCAATATCGTAGTTTTAATTTATCATTTCATAGCAATTTAATGTTTATATAATTTGGAATTATAGCAAAATACATATAAAATAAAATAATTCATATATAAATATGAATTTATTTGTTTGTGACGCCTTCACGCCCAAACAATTCAACCAATTTTTATTAATTGGAATATACTAATGTTATGCACCAAGCAGGCGACCTATTTGTTGCAAAAATGTATTTCGCAGCATGCAGCAAGTTGATGCGGCGCTAGGAGACGGCGCGTGGGACACATGCGTTAAAATCGTTGTTTACCCCGAATCGCAGATAACAGCAATGTATACAAAACTATTCTCGTGCCCACGATTGTCAATAAATGTACAAATAAGCCGTATAACTCGATTTTATGATTTTCAGTGCATGCTAGTGCCATCTATGAATGCCACAGATACTAGTTCCAAAATTTAGACTCTTATAATCAAAAATTAATGTTATTATCACATATTATCAAGAGTGTATTATAATGACTAAAAACCTCAATGTAATAGAGATAAAAAGGAACGAATCGCCGAATCTTAATCTACGGACTATTCTCTATAAGATAAGATAGTTAAAACGGAAATCTGAGAGATAAAATTTTAATTCTTAAGAACAAATGGGCAAATGGGATTCAGCTATACAATCATCCACATACGGTGCCCTGAACACGAGTCACTTCTACCGCTGCGCTCATACGGTGCCCTGAACACGAATCACTTTTACCGCTGCCCTTGTACGGTGCCCTGGACACGAGTCACTTCTTCCACTGCTTTTGTACGGTGCCCTGAACACGAGTCACTTCTACCGCTACCTTCATACGGTGCCCAGAACATGATGTATTTTTATCGGCACCCTGCTACGGTAAATCGAATGCGACTCAACTACACAATTGCGATTAATTGCAATATAACTGAATAAACAAGGCAAAGCCGTCGAGCAGTCAACAATTTTTTTGCTAATATTTTTGTGTTGGCGATTTAAGAGCGATCAGCCGGACCCCGAGGAATTTACCCCAGTTGAGCCCCGTCTCATCGAGCCTGCATATTAATATGCTTGATATTGTCAACAAATCGTAAAAACTAAAAGCATAAAAATATATTTAATATTAAAATGCAATCGGAGGTGTCATTTAATGACGTGAGTTGTTTCTTTTGGTAACAATCCATAGTATTCAAGCAATTTAAGATAGCAGCGAGACAAGTTATCAATGATAACATTCCAAATTTACTGCGTTGTAGTGAATCAGGTATTCCCAAATAAATAATACTACCTATTTATTATACAACATGACATCGCAAAATAGACAATGTTTAGATACAATGATTTTACAATGACTAATGAATAAATAAATCAGATAAAAAAATATTTTCAAACATTAAGATACAAAATATTACAACACATCGACATACTTAACAATAATCCAAATATTTAATTATCTATTGCTTTTTATTGAAAAAATTAAAAAATTGAAATAATCTGATATATTTGCAAACTTTTAAAAAATTGCGAATTTGAAAAAAGAAAAATTACAATATTAAAAAAAAATTGTCTTTGTCTTATCAGCGTGCACGCTATCAATATAAACCAATTAATAAGTGTTTATAGTGATTGTATTAGTCATTCGCATACATCCATAAATACGACACATTTTTCTCTCAAGGGTCCACCTTCTCCGATCCACTCGAAATCAACAATGATTAATCAACCACTCGACACCCGCTGCTGTAATTTTCAAAATATAAATCGTCCAGTGCGTATATATACGAGAGATTATCGCAAACCCTTACACAATTACGGCTTCGATTGCGCGCAAGATTCATTGAAGTGCGGAGACTAAAAACGGTTTCACATTAATAGGATCACAACACAAGTGTGCACATCAGTGCGTTAGTTGAAAATATATTTAACAAAATGGCTTCAACTTTTGTTTTAAAGACATTATTAGTGACAGTTTGTGTATTGGGTGTATCATCAGAACTTAGTGTCAATGATACTAAAATGATCAGTGAAATTATAAATAAGTTAAACAATTTTCCTCACACATTCCTACAAGGATTTAAAGATGCTAATGTTTCACCGGATTGTTTAAAGGCAATTGAAGTTTATGGGAATGGAATTAGCAATACAGAAGAATGGGCTTGGAAAAGTAAGTGAATTCAAAGTTTTATATTTATAACACTTCATGAGATGAGTTTTATTGGAAGTCACCGTATGATTTAATTTAACTCACATTATACGAGGAATTTAATTAATTCAATTGTCATCTAATTGTATTTAACTTGCACAGTGTTGGATGCCATGGCAAAATTGCAATCTGGTATTATGGATGGCAACCTGTTCAATTTAGGAGCTTATGATGAATGTCAATCGATACGTGACGTTGTGGTCTACTCAGAGAATCAAGACCCCAATGATGCAGAGTCCATGACAGTAATTAACGGAAAGTACTGTTTAGGAATGGGGCAGTTCTCGGACCAGGTAACTAGATTATCCCGAATTTAAACTTATACGTATTCAATATTAAAAATGAAAATTTGACGCATTTTCTAAATTAAATTAATAGTTGTTTATTTATTAATTTGAAGCTTTCAATAACATGGTCGATGTGCGGCCCAGACGCATGTTCAGCGGATGATTTAAATAAAGTGATGGCGTTGGCAAAACTACCAATTGGTTTTAAAGAAGCTTATTGTCACGATCCAAGTATGGATCCGGAAATTACCGGTGGAGATATAGCTTTTATGTAAGAAAATATTTCTATTTATGAAAAATAAAAACGAATTTCAAAAGAATTGAAATCAAACAGTTGAAATTGCGTTTTTTAAATAATAGCTGACATGATTTAATACTTCTGTGTTTTCTTCTAGTGTATGTTCTGGCATAATCTTAGGAATAATGGTTATATCTTCAGTATACGACGTATATCTCAGATATTTTGACAAAAGTAAGATTATTAGCAACTTTTCTAAAATTTTTAAAATTTACTTATATACTTATATTTATTTTATAGAAACAATTCACCCATTACTTCTGGCGTTTTCTGTGGTGACCAACGGTGAGAAACTCTTTGCAACCACAGAACCTGGTACAAACACTGGTCAACTAGAATGTCTTTCCGGTATCCGTTCGTTCAGTATGATGTGGGTTCTCATTGGTCACCAGTTTAGTAATATGACGATGGTAGCAGTAACAGATATGTTCAACATTTTAAGCGTAAATATCTTTATTATTATCCAGTGAAGAATAACGTTACTTAAAGTATAATTTTTGCTCTAAAGTTTTTTACTGATAATTGGACAATGTACATCCGCGGGGCCACGGTTGCCGTAGATTCCTTTTTTCTAATGGGAGGTATTGTGATGATCTACGTCTACTTGAAATCAACGAAAGACAAACAAACTTTCAATATATTCTTCTACTATTTGCATCGTTATCTTCGGTAAGTGATCGCAAACAACTTATAATCAGAAATAAATCACAGTCTATTGAGCATAATCCTATCGACATTTATATCACGTGAATGCTCTTATTAAGTAGCTTGTACTTTAATTAAGCAATTATGATAAGGATATTATTAATCGAAAAATAATTGTACCTCGGGATTATCGCACAATATGACACACAATCACTTGAAACTTAAAAAAGCTCGTACTCAAGTGCTTTTATTGTCATAAGCAATTTAATCATATTTACCTTTCACTTTCAAGGTTCATCCATGACTTCACAAATTTATCTTTAAAAAAATGTATTTTTTCTTATGTTATAACTGTGATTTTCTATTTCTTTTGTAGTTTAACTCCAGCTTTGGCCGCTGTTCTTGTTGTACACGTCACAGTACTTAAACACTTTGGTTCAGGCCCTTACTGGTTTATAATGAACGGCTACGCTTATGATTCCTGTAAGAAGTATTGGTATAGTGTCTTGTTGTACATTCAAAACTATGTGAATCCTACTGAAACGGTAAATTTTGTTGAAATGTTGTGTGGATATTATGTGATGTAATTATAATACTGTCTTTTCCTTTTTAGTGTATTGCCCAAAGTTGGTATTTGCAAGTCGACACACAACTGTTTCTTCTCTCACCTCTTGTCCTATTTCCAATCAAACGTTGGCCAAGATTTACTCTTGCAGCAGTTGTAGTAGCTGCATTGGCGTCAATTTCTACGGGTTTTGCAGTGTCGTGGGTCCATAAACTGGTTGATATTAATTCAATGTGTGTTTAATTATTTTAAACATCAAATAAATCAATACTAATTCTTTTTTATTAACAGAACTCTGGATAATGCTGACACTGGTGATTTTATGAAAATGTACTACAGCGCCACATATACTCGTGCTTCCCCTTGGCTAATTGGCATCATAGTTGGTTACTACATTTATAAAATCAAAATTGTACAAAAAGGAGAATTTAAAATGAGCAGGGTAAGTTGATCCACTGAAACTTGTTTATTTATTCCAATTATCTAATTAATATTTTAATACTTTAAGATGCTAAATATATTCATGTGGATTGGTTCACTGAGTGTTTTGGCTACATGCGTTTATGTAGACAAAAGTCAGGATGAATATGATCGTCTTGCAATGTCTTCCTACATAGCCTTCGTTCGTCCAGCATGGGCTATTGCGCTTTCTTGGGTAATATTCGCTTGTGTAACTGGATACGGTGGTAAGTATTCATCCAATATATTATTTATGTACCTTGAAACACTTTGTATATTTTTTAATTTTTAAGGTCCTGTAAATGCGTTTTTATCGGCGAGGGTATTTCAAGTATTGGCACGTCTTACCTACACGATGTACTTAACACATTTCACTGTACTTCTTGTTTTGGTTACGTCAATCAAACAGCCACGTGTTTTCTCCAATGCACAAGCAGTAAGTAACGCCATCTATTCACCAATAGTTCTTATGTACTTATACCGATTTAATTGGTTCTAGATGTATGAGTTTTGGGCCATCTTTGCTCTTGTATTTGCAATCAGCGTTGTATGGACATTGGCATTTGAATCTCCGATTATGATCATTGAAAAACATATGTTTGGTGGTGGTAGTTCAAAAAAACCAGTAGGCGACAAGGCAACAAGTAAACCCATTGGGGTGACTGAAAATATAAATATTGGTACCCCATCAAATAATGAAAATAGTAATGTTGAAAGTGGTTTACATCATCGTTTGAGTGGAAGAGCAAGTAATCAAAATGGCATTGACAACGCTGGCTATATTACGGAAAAACCAAACTAAAGTGACTTGTCAATAATTTTTGTCATAATATTATAAGAAAATGAACATTATTGTAAATATTAATTTAAATATTGTGAGACTGAAATAATAATAATGGTGATAATTGAATAATAAATATTTGAAAAATGAAAATAATGTAACACATTAATAGTGTAAAAACTCAATTATTAATATAGATTCATAGCAGTATAAATTGTACCTGACATTTGTTATTTATGATTATATACGGTTAGTTGTCATCAGGGTGATTCGGTGGAATAAATTACATTTAATCAACTTACACCTACGCTTAATTATTTATAAAAGTACAAATTTCTGCCATTTTTATACTTTTATACCATAATTAACTAAACCATATGAAAAATTATAATTCTTACATAGTTTTAAAAGTTTGTATTGGAAATTTTATTTATTTTAATAGAAATAAATGTGAGTCATTTTACTTTCAGAATATCGGGTTTCCTAAGTGTATTTGCAGATTTTTAAATCAATGATACTATAAAGTATAATAAAGTTATAAAAAGTTAGCCTGGCTTTCTTCAAACTTTGTTGCGAATATTAAACAAATTGATGTAAAAATTCAGAAAGTTTTTCTATGCAGAGCAAATGAATTGAAGGTTTTGTCAGTTTGCCATTGCATGATATGATTTCCGCGAAAACTCATCTCACTGACAGAATTTACTTCGTATAATTAAATTTAACTGATATAATGGCAGGAATTCAATTGTTTTAATTACCTAATTAACATGTTTGTTTTACATACTGTTTGATGCTATGTCAAAATGGCAATCTAGAATTCTATCCGTCAATTGGTACAACCTAGGAGCCACAATGAATCATAAATAATTAACTGATTCTAAACAATAGAATTTGACCCATTAATGGATGTAGGTAGTTTAGAAATTAGAAAATTATTAGAAATTAGAAAAGTTAATTCTATTATTATTTGGATTATTATTCGGCCATTTTTAGTTTTTTAGAAAATAAATCGTATTAAATTGACGTTTTTAAAACCGACAAATCTATTTACCTATTTACCTGTCGTTATTGATTCCAGTAACGAAAAGCACTAAACAAATTAAATGAGGTAACATCGATTGACATTGTAATGATTTATTAAACTGCAACTGATCAGGTTGTATTTAATTACAATTTAATGATGTGATGCATTCAGTATACGAGTAAACTCCTGATAACTGAAATTCGATCTTTTATGAACTCAATATAATTGTGGAAACTTCATAATGATAATAAATTTAAATAGCATTTATTTACCTACAGGTTATTATATATATTATCACATAAGTTTAAAAAATAAATTTAAAACTAATTACAATCCATTGTATCACGTGTTAGCTCTTGTAAGAAAGATAAAAAATCAAATTACGCAATGATGATGAAAGAACAATTAACCGACAAACACCTGTGCCACTGAAATATCCTACAATGTGATAATTGGCACTTAAAACATGAAAATCCTAATTCAATAGGTACTCAATTGATTTTTCAATAATTATTATTGTATTGTTTGATATAATTATATCTATGACTAGCTGTTGCCCGCGACTTCGTTCCGGCAGTGTTTAATAAAAATGTACTTCGTTTTTACTCTTTTGTGCTAGGCATACTCGTAGTAAGAGTCAATTCTATCAATAAGATTAGCAATTTTAATTTAAAGAAATTAATTATATTAAGTTTTGTCAATAATGCACTTCAGCGCGCCATCTCGAATTCAACTATTTAACTATAACTATGATTGAATCTCAATGTCAAATTTTATCCTATAGAAAAGAACTGTTTTGAGGATTTTCCCGGCAATTATTCGAATTTTTCTCACCATTTGAACCTTCCCTAGACCTCCACGAATAATTCAAGACCAAGATAAGATAAATCCGTTCAGCCGTTCTCGAGTTTTAGCGAGACTAACGAACAGCAATTCATTTATATATATATATAGATTGTCAATACATTTACATTACATTACATTTATAAAATTTACAACACTCATTTCGAAAGCTAAACCTTTCTCTTCAGACGAAGGGAATTGTATACATTTACATTTGAATACAAATATTGTATTGTATTGTATAATAATTGTATACTGTGCTCAAATTGTGTATGCATTGTATATCTTGTTTACTGGTACAAAGTGTTAACAATGTCCTTCGCCTGAAGAGAAAGACTTAGCTTCCGAAATGCGCATATTATAGTAAATTTTCCTATTCAGACAAGATTGTTTGAAAGTAATAAACAAAATCTAATCAAGCACTTGAGCAGCACTTATGTTTAATTATTTATCAAATCTTAAATTGGCAAAATAAATAAATGTGTCATTTTATATCTAATTCAGTATGATAACTTATAACAAGCCGTAAAAACCATATATAACTTATTATAGCCTAAATTATAACTAATAACATAATAAAACTGTGCCAGCATTTTAAAATATTTAATCAAAATGATTTTGCGAGAATTAATTTTAAATATATCAATAGTGCTACTTTGTGTTCTTAGTGTATCATCTGAAATTACCATGAATAATACTAAAACTTATATTGAAGTTATAAACAGTTTGAGTAACTATCCTGAAACATTCCTAGGTGGATTTAAAGATGCTGATATCTCTCTAAATTGCAAGAAAGCGTTAAGGTATTATAAGACTGGATTAGTAAACCAAGAAGAATGGGCTATACAAAGTAAGTTTTAATCTATTGTACGAGTATATTTTAATTGAAATATGAATTATGTAATTAATAAATAATTTCTGAACAGTGTTAGATGCCATGTCGAAGTTGCAGTCCGGTATCCTTGAAGGCAACTTGTATAATTTGGGTGCTTATGATGAATGTCAGTCAATACGAGATGTTAAGGTCCACATACAACCTAAAGACAAGAATATTGGTGAATCAATGACTCTTATTAATGGGAAATATTGTTTAGGATCAATACAACTTGGCAGGGTATTTAGTTATAATTAATTATTAATTGAGTTGTTACCAAAGAATTAAAATTTGTGGATTTTTTGTTTATATGTTTCAAACACGAACTTTTTCAAATTTATTCAAATCTGTTTTTGTTGTGGAATATAATTAATAACTATTTATTTACAGCTTGGTTTTTATTGGGCAATGTGCGCGCCTGATGCATGTTCCGCAGATGATTTAAATAAAATAATACAGGTAATTAAAGTACCAATTGTATTCACTGAAGACAGGTGTCACGATCCAAGCCAAGATCCAGAAATTACCGATGGAGATATAGCTGTTATGTAAGAAAATAAAAATAAAATTAAAAATCTTCATATTTTCTAAATTTGGAAAGATACAATAATTGACCAATATTATTTATTTTTATTTAGCACGTGTTTTGGCATAATATTAGCAATAATGGCCACATCATCAGTATACGACGTGTTTCTACGATATTTTGAAAAAAGTAAGATGAATACCACTTTCCTTGCTTTTTAAATGTAAATTTAATGTAATTAAACCTTTATTTTTAAAGAAACGGTGCATCCATTATTATTAGCGTTTTCTGTGGTAACTAATGGAGAAAAACTCTTTGCAACAAAAGAACCAGGCACTGCTGGTGATCAATTGGAATGTCTTTCTGGTATTCGTTCCTTCAGCATGATGTGGGTCGTGCTTGGTCACATCTTTAGTAATACGTCAACAATTGGAGCAACAAATATGATAAAATTACTTGAGGTGAGTAAGAACTAATAAGCCACGAGAAACAAAACGAAATAATAACTATTCTGTTGGTTTTGTTTAGTTTATGACCGATGGTTGGACAATGTACATTCGTGGTGCCACGGTAGCTGTTGATTCCTTTTTTCTAATGGGTGGTGTTGTAATGATTTACGTTTATCTCAAATCAACGAAAAACAAACAAACTTTCAATGTCTTTCTTTACTATTTGCATCGATATCTACGGTAATTTACGAGTCATTGTACTTTCTGTTTGTGATACAAGTTAGAAACTGAACTTAGAAACTAATTGAATGATTGCTGCAATTAGCCTCGTCTGAGAATCCAAAACCTTTTGACACTTACTAATCTGTAATAAATTAAGTAACTTTATCAGTGTCAATTGGTTGATAAGATTTTAACTTGTTATGCACAATTTAAAGATTTGTTTTTTTATACTTAAGTATATGAAGTACCTACTTATTTACGTAGATACGATGTTTTTTAATTTATTTATTATTCTAATGTATATTTATTTTTAGTTTAACACCCGCTCTAGCTGCAGTTCTTGCTGTGCATCTCACTATTCTAAAACATTTTGGTTCTGGTCCTTTTTGGAACTTTATAGAAGCATATGGCGTCGTCAACTGTAGAAAATATTGGTATGGCGTCCTATTCTATATTCAGAATTATACAAATGCTTATGAAATGGTAAGTTTATTTTATAGTACATTGCAATATTGATTTATCGATAATAATATTGCACTCATGTAATATCTTCTTAATCTGTAATTGAAACCCTCAAGTTTACAACACCAAACTTTAAAATCAAGTTTATTTATTCTTTTTTTTAAGTCAATTTTTTGATGTTAAATACTTCTTTAAAATTTTTAGTGTATTGGGCATACTTGGTACCTCTCCGTCGATACGCAATTATTCGTCTTATCGCCACTCATTCTGTTTCCCATAAAACGATGGCCCAAGTTAACACTTGCTGCTGTCCTCATCTTGACATTAGCATCCATCTCAAGCTCCTTTGCCTTAGCATGGGTATATGAACTAATTGATGGCAATTCTTTGTAAGAACAAGTAATAACTTTTGTTTGAAATAAATAATAAAACTAATTTATTATAGAACTGCGACTCCCCAACAAACTGAAGATCATTCCAGATTGTATTACACTGCAACATATTCTCGTGCTGCCCCTGGTTAATCGGCATTATTGCTGGCTATTTTATTTATCAAATAAAAATTGTTAAGAAAGATCAACCATTTAAAATGAACAGAGTAAGCTTAATTTTACCTTTTATAACATAAGAATTAATTAAAAATTATAAGTACTAAAATCAGTATAATGTTTAATTTTTAGTTATTAAATATTTTCTTATGGATTGGTTCGATAGCTGTGATGATAACATGTGTATACGTTGATAAAAGTCAAGATGAATACGATCGTCTTGCTTGGTCGTCTTACATTGCTTTCATTCGTCCTGCATGGGCAATTGGGCTTTCTTGGATTATATTTGCTTGTGTTACAGGATATGGGGGTTAGTAAATATTGAATAGTTAGGGCACTTACATGACAACACTTGATTTCATTCGTAGAAAAATAAAGAGAATTCCTTTGAAGGTTTCACGTATTAATTAAGACTGCGACATATTTCGCCACACGACGATACAATTTATTATCTGCCTAATGATGCTCCAGTGTAGCGAAACATGTTGCAATAGTAATTAATATGTGAAGTAATTAAAGAAGTTTCTACAATGATACAAAATATTCGATACATAATTGCGGCCTTCTTATTTATTTATTTATTTTATTTCATTTCTTTTAGGTCCTGTAAATGCTCTTTTATCAGCTAGAATATTTCAAGTTCTGGGTCGTCTCACATATACAATGTATTTAACACACTACACTGTACTCTTTTCATTGTTCCTATCTCACAAACATGCGGTACAGTTTTCCAACACACGAGTAGTAAGTAGCGCCACATGGTGTCAAATAGCTGTAAAATAAATAATACAATCAAATTTGTTTTGCAGATGTATGAGTTCTGGTCAATTTTGCTGTTGTTTTTGTTGTCGCCGTTGTTTGGACATTGGCATTTGAATCACCTATATTAATTATTGAGAAATATATTTTCGGCGGTGGAAATAAAAAGAAACCGGGTGTTGCATCACCAAGCAAACCTATTGATAAAGATTCAAGTATTAACTATATTGGTAGTCCACAAAATGAAGAAAATAAAAGTGTGGAAAGTGGTTTGCATCGTCGGACTAAGGGATTGGAAAATTATTAAATGGACGTTGATGATTCTGGTTATGGTTTATGCTATCGTGGTTTTATAAATAAAATTAAGAAAACGTTGTAAATACTAATTTAAATGTTTTAAAATGGTTGAATTGTTGTTTCATATAGCTTATAAGTATTATTACATTAATAAATTGTGTATTATGCAACAATGTATTATTTAAATATTAATTTTATGCTATACTAGCTTTAACCCGCGGCTTCGCTCGCGAATATCTAAAATAATGACGTTACTTCCATACGCGTCTGTAGTCACAGAAGAAGTAACAATGAAGTAGAATGGCGGGAAATTTAAAATGGCTGAAAGTATAGTCTATGGATGTATAGTGTACAGTCTCCATAGTGTAGTCAATTGGATTTGATGTTGACGTAGCTGTCGGTAATACAGTGTGATAATACAGTGTGATGGTACTATAGTACTTAGGTTTGAGCTTCATTGCTGGAATGCTAGATGGCGTTAAAGTAGTAAAATAGCCAGATGCAGAGGTATTATTGGCTAAACAATTTCTTTATTTTATTTAAAAAATATTTTTTATTAAATAAAAAGTAGCCTATAACCATTCGGGGACCACTAAGAATATGTATACAAATTTTCATGATGATCTGTTAAGTAGTTTTTGCGTGAAAGTGTAACAAACATCAGGACTTTCGCATTTATAATATTAGTAGGGGTTTAACATAAGTATCTTCTTCTTGTATTGTTTTATAAAGAACAAGTATAACCTAATTTAAAGCCCAAATTTGGAGCCATAAATTGAAATAGTTCACATTTCAAAAGTCATCTATTATATCCTTTTAAGCATAAAACTTCGAACTTAAATTTTGAAATGCATAAAATCTACAAATCCAATGAATTCAACAAACGCTCCCTAAAAGGAAATATATGCGTACCCTCAAATAATAGATAACGCATAAACATTAATATATTACCAAATTAAGTATCAAACAACGATAAATATCATTTAATCATCTATACGTCAACTGATTGAGATTATTTATCAAATCTCGCATTGTATTTATATAGAGCCGGTGCATTTCAACATTATTTGCAAACTTACGCTCAGTTACGATTTTCCCTGTACGAACAGTTCCGTAAAGTCTAAAAATTAATTATTTTTTAAATAAAATGGGTGCGCGTTATTTTATTTTTTCAACGTTGTTACTATTACTATTATATTGTGCTACGACAGTCACATCGGTCAATATCAGTGATACTATTAAATATAGTGACATTCTAAACAATTTGAGTAACTTTCCTCAAAGATTCCCGGTTGGATATGAAGCTGCTAATATTTCACCACGTTGCAATCAGTCATTGGCACATTATAAAAATGGCTTGGATAATCAAGATGAATGGGCCGTGAAGAGTAAGTAAATTTTTATTTTTTTTTAATATTAATATTATTATTAGATTATTTATCAATTTATTGTCTACAGTGTTGGATGCCATGTCTAAACTGCAATCCGGTATTATGTCTGGAAACCTGTATAATTTAGGAGCTTACGATGAATGTCAATCGATACGCGACATTGTGATCAACTCACAAAATTCCGGAACGCAACAGGAACAGAAAAAAGATTCTATTACGCTTATTAGTGGGAAATACTGCTTAGGGACATTGCAATTAAAAGAGGTACGTAATAAAATGGTATTTAATTTACTACAAATTATTTCATGCCTTGTTATGAAATATTTCTTAAAGAAAATGTATTTACTATCGTTTTTCAAGTTTACATGTATTTCTATAGAAATATAAATCCACGTGCGTTAATCAATTGATATATCAAATATTATTATGTTACTTGTCGGTACTGATTACACAAAGCGTTATACAAACAAAACTATATCAGTTGATTACATGATATCGTTTATTTATTTGATTAGAAATGCAAAAATTTTATTTTATTAAAATTCGATTGCAAAAATATAGTAAAGTAAATATGTGCAGGAATTACTTTATAAATATTTTATACTCGCAATATGCAGATACCGCTCTTTTGGTCGATGTGTGCACCTGATGCATGCTCAGCAGATGATTTAAACGCAATGATGGAGATGGTACAAATACCCATGGTTTTCACTGAAGAGAAGTGTCATGATCCAAGTATGGATCCGGAAATTACGCCTGGGGATATTGCAGTCATGTAAGAATATTAAAATATTATCAATCTGAATAAAAGTAATAAATGTATCAAAATTCGTGATTTTTCAGAGTGTGCTTTGGAATAATTTTGGCAATAATGATTGTATCTTCAGTATATGATGTGTTCCTTCGATATTTCGAGAAAAGTATGAATATTTCTTTCTATTTTCGACGTTTCCGCATATAAAAATTATTTTTAAACTTGTTTTGCTTTTAAAGAAACTGTGCATCCATTGCTACTGGCGTTTTCTGTCGTGACCAATGGTGAGAAACTTTTTGCAACCACAGAACCAGGTACAAACGCTGGCCAACTGGAGTGTCTTTCCGGTATTCGATCCATAAGCATGATGTGGGTGCTACTAGGTCACATCTTCAGTAATATGATGTCGGTTGCTTTGACAAATATGAATAGCCTTCTAGAAGTAAGAAAATACTACTTATTTAATTGCAATCTGCAGTTTTACGTCGCAAAACATTTTTAATTAATTTAATTTTTATTTTGTTTAGTTTTTCAGCGATGGTTGGACAATGTATGTTCGTGGTGCCACTGTGTCTGTTGATTCATTTTTTCTAATGGCTGGTATTGTGATGATTTATGTTTATCTCAAATCAACTAAAGATAAACAAACATTTAATGTGTTTTTGTATTACTTACATCGCTATCTGCGGTAAATAATGTAGCTTTCAATTCGAGTAATATTTATTAATTTATTATTATATTTAGCTTAACACCTGCTCTCGCTGCTGTTCTTGTGGTACATCTCACAATTCTCAAACACTTTGGTTCAGGTCCTCTCTGGTCCTCAATGAATTTATATGGTTACGAATACTGCAGTAAAAACTGGTGGAGTTTATTGCTGTATATTCAAAACTATGTTGATTCACTTGAAATGGTAAGAAAATATTTTTACACAAAATTCACTTGCGAATTTCACATAAAAATCTTAAAAAATTCAAATGAGATTTAATATATTTACTAATGTTATTTTTTTAATTTATTTATTTTTTATAGTGTGTTCCACAAAGCTGGTATCTGTCAGTCGACACACAACTGTTTCTTATTTCACCGATTTTCCTCTTTCCGATTAATCGTTGGCCAAGAATTACACTTGCTGTTGTTCTCCTCACGGCATTGGCATCTATCTCAACAGGATTTGCTTTGGCGTGGGTTCATAAATTGGTCGACAGTAACACTTTGTAAGTTCTTTTGTTGTAATTTATATTAAATATATAATTTATTGGTTTTTCTTAATTAAGAGCTGTAGATCCCAAAGAAACTGAAAATTATTTGAAGCTGTACTACCAGGCAACTTACGCTCGTGCTTCCCTTGGTTAATTGGCATCATAGCTGGTTATTTTATCTACAAGATCAAAATTGTGCAAAAAGATCAACAATTCAAAATTCCCAAGGTAAATATTTAACCAATAAACAACAAGTAGTATAATATTCTAACTATTTTTAAAATAAATTTGTTTTAATTTGTTTTTTCTTCTAATTTGTTAAATTTGTAGGTTTTAAACATTTGCCTCTGGGCTGCATCTTTAGCCGTATTGGCTACATGTGTTTTCGTAGACAGGGCACAAGATGATTACGATCGTCTGGCCAGCTCGTCCTATATTGCTTTCGTTCGTCCTGCCTGGTCGTTGGCGCTCTCTTGGGTAATATTCGCGTGCGTGACAGGATACGGTGGTGAGTTAACACTCTCTTTACTACTCCTACACTTCTTAACACTTTGTATTTATATTTAATCTTCTTTAGGTCCAGTAAATGCATTGTTATCGGCTAGAGTATTTCAAGTACTGGCACGACTTACTTACTCTATGTACCTTACACATGTAACCATCGTTTTAGTGTTGCACTCTTCTATTAAAGAGCCTGTGCCATTTTCCAATGCTCATGTTGTAAGTAGCGCCATCTATAGAATAATAGTGTTAAAAAGTGTAATGAGAATTATTTTATTTTGTAGCTGTACGAGTATTGGGCATTGTTTGCTCTGGTATTTGCAATTAGTGTTGTATGGACTTTGGCGTTTGAATCGCCGGTTATTATTATTGAAAAATACATTTTTGGTGGTGGCAATCGTAAAAGACCAGTAGGAGCACCAAATAAATCTGTTAATACAACTAAAAATATTATCAGTCTTGTTGGTAGCATTCATGATAAAGAGAACATCAATGTCGAAAATGGTTTACATCATCGTTCCACTTGAACTGAAAATATTCACAACTGAATATATGTAAAATATTATTTGTTGAAATATTATTAATTTACTATAAAAACCTGAATGTATTCGTAAACAATTGTTTACTTTTTCATTCAACTGATATTTAAATTCAATCCACTGCATTCAATATGAAAAGTTGTTTTTAATTCTCTTTTCTTGCATCATTGTTAAAAGTACTATTGCAACTTATTTCCGATATTTTTAATTATCTGTATTTCTGCATGTATAATTAACAAAGTTTGATAACAATGAATAAACTTCCTTTTTTAACAAAAAAATCTCATTAGTAGCAAAATGTACTTCACTGGTTAGTTATTAATTTCTGAAAGAATGTGTAACTAAATATCATCGGTGTTGAATTAAAATAAAAAAATTGGAAAAATAAATTCAATCATTATAAAAAATATAATAGAAACATATAAATCATACACCTGATGCCCAATAAAATATAAATTTTCAAGTGAAGAGCGTATGTGGATTATGCGTAATTTATAACTCGGAACCAAAGCTAAATAATCTTAAGTAAAATGATTTACTAAAATATTATTGAAAAAACTGTGGTTATTTTAAAATAATCTCTCTCATAATGAGTATAAATAGTTTTACTTTGAAGTTATTGATGTGGACAGTTTGTGTATTAAGTGTATCAGCAGAACGTGGCGATAATAATACTAAAAAGTATAGTGAAATAATAAAAAGTTTGAGTAACTTTCCTGAAACTTTTTTGCTTGGATATAAAGATGCAGATATTTCACCAAATTGCAAAACTGCGATTAAATTATATGTGAATGCTTTGGCAAATTATGAAGGATGGGCTATTCAAAGTAAGTAATTTTAAAATGTTGTACTTTTTTGCTATTCCTAGTGAAAATCTCAAGTGCGCTGATTAGCACTCTCATTTTGTATGGCCTTGCGCGGCACTGTAGATAAATGCGCATGCGCCGTTACTAAAGCTCGTGACTAAAGTACTAAACGTGTAAAAAGTAATATTTTAAAGCTTGAAGTTAAAATTTAGCTGTGTATTTGCAATTTCTCAACAAATTATTTATTTAAAAATAAATTTAAAGAATTTTCCGTGGTGGAACGAAATCAATTTTATTAATACCTCTAAAATCTGGAACATAATTAAGCAATTCCGATTTGATACTAAAATACACGGTGCTGCTCTTTAGGAATACATGTATTATGGATAGAATTTAATTGGGTTTATTACATAATTAAATTTATTTATTATGCGCAGTGTTCGATGCCATGTCAAAGCTGCAATCCGGAATCCTTGCTGGTAACTTTTACAACCTGGGAGCTTACGACGAATGTCAATCGATACGTGACGTTGTGGTCCACTCACAGGATCCAGACAACAATGATGCAGAGAGTAGCACGCTAATTAACGGAAAATACTGTCTGGGAAAGGGAGACCTTGCAGAGGTACGTTAATTAATGCACATTGAATCGCAAATTACAAAAAATCTATTGACTTACTATTTTAAACTTGAATACAGCGACAAAACTAATGAAAAAACTTGATTAATCTGCTATCAACTATATTTTACAGACTAATTTTGTTTTTACACCAACTAACAGACACTTATCAATCAAATAAAAGTGGAATAATAACACCACTCAAAATCGAAATGCATTTGTCTGTCGTTATTGATTACGGCTACGCGAGACAAAATTCAAATTGAACACGTTGTTTTTGAATTGATTAAACCATATTTTCTATTCATGATTCATGACATGACTTTGTGTTCTGTTCAGTCAGAATATTGAATTTCACAAATAAAAATTGCCAGATTTTACATAAAATATTTAAGTAATTTCAGCTTAAATTATCTGCGGATAATAAAAATGCTTTGCTGATGATGATTTTTATAATAAACTATTACACCTAATGTGAAATTGTTAGTTATATTCATGATTTAAGAATTGAAGAATACTTGCATAAATTACGACGCCAATATAAACTACAATGATGTGATTTTATTCCAAGAAATAAACATTCGATATCTGCAGGTAAACAAACTTATCTCTTGTGCGAAATCGCGTGATCCACACGGACACGGTGTGCACTCACTACCACCAACAAGCAATATTTAATGTAAAACCGTGCATCGTAGTGCCATCTAACCGACTATCTAGTAACGGCAGGTTTAAACTCAAAACACATTTTATCAAATATGCAACAAATTTATATTGGATGAAAATGCCAGTCATAAGCAATTTAATAATGTCTATCAAATCGCAATATTGCTTTAATTTATATTCTATGATACAATATAATAATATTATATTCACACTTAAAATCAAATCAAATCAAATTTAATAGTAATTTTATTTCCATTTATTTATGTTCAGATACCGCTTGTCTGGGCTATGTGCGCTCCAGACGCATGTTCAGCTGATGATTTAAACAAAATCATAAAGATATTGCCTGTATCAATGGAATTCACTGAAGAGAAGTGTCATGATCCAAGTCAGGACCCAAAAATTACTAATGGCGATATTGTAGCTATGTAAGATAGAGATAAACTTGCAGGTTTTGTTTGTATAATATGATTTATTTTTCTTAGGACATGTTTTGGAATAATCTTAGGAGTAGTGGTTGCATCTTCTCTTTATGACATATATCTTCGATATTTTGAAAAAAGTAAAATCACCTCCGAGTTCACTAAAAATTTATCTAAAAATATATTAATCTTTTATTTTTAAGAACCACTTCATCCTCTATTACTAGCGTTTTCTATGGTGACTAACAGTGAGAAACTTTTTGCCACCAAAGAACCAAACACAGGTGGTGATCAAATGGAATGTCTTTCTGGTATCCGTTCGCTAAGTATGATGTGGGTGGTACTAGGACACACTTTCAGTAACGTAACGCTTGTAGCTATTGCAAACTATGCAAATCTTAAAAATGTGAGTAATCATCATATAAAATGTTTATGTATTGTCTTGTGCTGCACCGTAGACAAATACACAGGTTTAAGCTCCACTCCATGACTAAAGCCCGTGACTAAAGCACTTTAATCATGGCATTGTTTTTTTTCTCAAAACTGTAATAAATTAATGAAGTAAAAAGTTTTTCATAATATGCTAAAAATATTACATAAATTATTATAATATTCCAAATTATATAACCTTGCAAAACTCTTTTTGTAGATTTTTATCGATCCCTGGACAATGTACGTCCGTGGAGCGACTGTTGCTGTAGATTCCTTCTTCCTAATGAGTGGTATCGTGATGATCTACGTCTACCTCAAATCATCCAAAAACAAACAAACATTTAATGTTTTTCTCTATTATCTACATCGTTATCTCCGGTGAGTTAATCATTCAAGTTTAATTAAATCTATGAGATAATCAAAAACAAATCTCGGGCCGTTGATCTCAATCACGCTCATAGTCGTCGCACGTGACTGCTCTCATTAAAAACATTATAAACTAATTATACGATTATGAAAAGCCGGCGATTAACTCGTCGTGAATTATGTCGAGGATTATCATACAATGTGTCACAATCATCACTTGAGACTGGAGAATATAAATTTAATCTGATCTGATTTTAAATCACGAGATATTTGAAAAATTAGATAAGATATTAATTTTTCACAAATTGCAAAAAATCAGATAATATCTGATATAAAGATTTATAATTGAATCTATTTTTAAATATTTAATTTCTTTATTTATTTTTTATTTATTTTAGTTTAACTCCAGCGTTGGCCGCTGTTCTTGTTATACACATCACAGTTATTAAACATTTTGGTTCTGGTCCATATTGGTACTTGATGAATGACGCAATTAAAGATTGCCAAAACTATTGGTGGAGTGTCTTGTTGTATATTCAAAACTATGTAAATGATGCTGAAATTGTAAGTTTTCGTTATTTTAAAAATTTTAAAAATTAAATTATAGACTTGTTTTATTTTCTAGTGTATGATACAAAGCTGGTATTTGTCCGTTGACACTCAATTGTTTCTTTTATCACCACTTGTCCTGTTTCCAATAAAACGTTGGCCGAGGATTACACTCGCCGCCGTTGCAATCGCTGCATTGGCCTCCATTTCCACTGGATTTGCAGTAGCATGGGTTTATAAACTCACAGACATTAATATGCTGTATGTGTAATATTTATGGTATTATACTATTCATATTTTACAATTACTAAAATATATTACTTATTTTTCGATAGAAACACAAAAGACCCAGATGCTTCAATAAATTATATGAAAATCTACTATCACGCTACGTACACTCGTGCTTCTCCATGGTTAATTGGCATCATAGTTGGCTACTTTATCCACAAAGTCAAAATTGTTCAAAAGGGCCCATATAAAATAAACTGGGTACGTATACAGACAAAGAAAATTAAAATTGTATTTTTGATAAGATTAATATTAAATGTTTAATATTTTCTTGACTTTTAGACCTATAATGCTCTAATAAGGCGTTAAAGTGCACTTTTAGCGCCAAATTATGATTATCAATCTTCATCCCCCTATTTTACACCCTTTTAGTTATAATATTGCACCAAAAAGTTGTTTATTTTCTTTTCCGAAGTCTTTAACATCTTTATACAAAAATTCATCAAAATGTCTTCACTAGTTTTTGTGTCAAAGCGTCACAAACATACGAATACACTAACATTCGCATTTCAAGTAATAATATCATTTAAACTTTAATATATCCTCATTTGCAGTTCTTAAAAATTTCCTTGTGGATTGGCTCACTGTGTGTGCTGGCAACATGTGTTTTCGTCGACAAAGCCCTGGATGATTACGATCGTCTCGCCGTTTCGTCCTACATTGCTTTCATTCGCCCCGCGTGGTCTTTAGCACTCTCTTGGGTGATATTCGCCTGTGAGACTGGATACGGCGGTGAGTAAACACCCAATACACCATTTCAAACACTTTCAAACCTTTGGAATATCGGATCTACATTTTTATTTAAACCTTCAAAGGTCCAGTGAATGCATTGTTATCGGCAAGAGTATTCCAAGTGATGGCGCGGCTCACCTACTCCATGTATGTGACGCACTACACTATCATATTCGTGTTGTATACGTCCATCAAACAACCTCTTGCATTTTCAAACTCACAATATGTAAGTTACGCCATTTAGTAATAAAAATAATTTTAAAGTAATTTGGTGAAAATTTGTTTTTTGTTTTAGATGCTTGAATATTGGTCAATTTTTGCTTTGGTTTTTGTGATTAGTGTTATTTGGACGTTGGCATTTGAATCACCGATTTTTATTATTGAGAAATATATTTTTGGAGGTTCCAGTCGTAGAAGACATGTAATTTCATCTCAACATACCAATGATATGGATAAAATTGGTGATACACAAAACATTGAGAATTTTATGATTGAGAATGGCTGCCATCGTCGTTCAAATGGAGTTGAAAAAATATAAACAAACATTCAATTTTATCGTATCTTACATTTCATGAGAGTGAGAATGTGAGGAGGAGATGAGTGAGATCTACAATAAATCGATTTCAATCATGCTGTCGCCATCTGACGAATTGTATTGTAAAATTCATTGTATCGTGTGCGGACAGGTAAATATCAATTCTTGATAGCAAATCTTTTGTTGATATTTTGGTTTTGTCTAAAATAAACGTGTATTTACCTTATTACTTTCTATATGAAATACGAAATATGCGAAATAATTCAGGTTGTATATGTATTAAACATATATTTATTTATTAAAATTACACGTGATTTTTGGATTTACATTTTGTTTGTTGAGGGCATCTTCAGAAACTCAGTTTCTCTAAGTCAAAAAACAAAATGCAAATCCAAAAATCACATGTAATTTTATTATTTAGTTTAAAAATATTTATTTATTAAATTTCTTTAATATTTAATAATTTAATATGTACGTGTATTTACTTGTTCTGCCAAAGAATATTAATATTTTATTATTCACATAAAATGTAAACAAACATGCATTCTTATCTTACCTTACATTTCATGCGAATGCAAGAGTGAGAATGAAGAGATCTACAATAAATCAATTTCAGTCACGCTGTCGCCATCTGACGATTTGTATGTAAAATCGATTGTATTGTGTGCGGTCAAGCGAATATCAATCTTGATAGCAAATGTTTTGTTGATATTTTGGTTTCGTCTAAAATAAACGTGTATTCATACCCATCTTATTCACACATCCGCAAAAAATGTAAGCAAACATTCAAGATTATCTCCTCTTACTTTTCATACGAATGCGAGAATGAAGATGGAGAGATCTACAATAAAACTATTTCATTAATATTATATTTATTTATTTAAAATTATATGTGATTTTGGGGATTTGCAATGTTTTTTTTTTGAGTTTAACATGTTTCGCCCTGAGGGCATCTTCAGAGACTCTTAAATTTATTATATTTATTTTATATTTAAAAACAAAATTGTAAATCCACAAAATCTCGTATAATTTTTAAGAAATAAATATATTATTAATACAAACATATATTACGTATTCGACATACGAGTAGAAAGTAATTAAATCAATTTCAGTCATGCTGTCGACATCTGTCGAGTTATATTGTAAAATTGAGAGTATTGTATGCGGTCAAGCAAATATCAATCCTTGATAGCAAATGTTTACCTGCGATTTAATTCTCTTCTAGAATAAACTTGTATTTACCTACTTATTTTGCACAAGAATATTTATACCTGCTTTATACCCATCTCATTCATAGATTCACATAAAATGTAAACAAACATTCATGATTATCTTATTTTACATTTCATGCGAATGTGAGAATGAAGATGGTGTGATCTACAATAAATCAAATTCAGTCAGGCTGTCGACATCTATCGAATTATATGTAAATTTGAATGTATCATGTGCGGTCAAGCGGGAATCAATCGTTGATAGCAAATGTTTACCTGCAATTCGGTTCTTGTCTAGAATAAACGTATATTTCCTTGTTCTCCCGAAGAATACTAATATTACAATTCTATTACACTCCAAAACACTAGTTTAAAATCCTATTAAACATCACACATTATTAATATTTATTTTATTATTATTACTTGCATATTTTTTATCTTAAAATACGAAATACCTAAAATAAGATTTTTTCCTAAACGTAAAAAACATTGATCATCCTTGAAAATTGTTGGTATCACGTCTTTTTTTCTTTCTTTTTTTTTGGCGTTGTATTTATTATCTTAATTTTCTCAAGTTTTCTGTGTTTTCTTATATTTCACACACGCAATGTGTTGTCATGCGTCACGCACGCACGTTTCGCCCTCGTGTGTCTTCATCCGCATCGTTTCTTTTTTTCCGCATTCTTACACCGATATTTATAGCCAAGCGTGTGGAAAACATCCGGGGCCGTAAAACACGAAACATTTTCCTTCTTCAACCGAAAGTGATCTTTGACAAATTAATACACTTTTCCCAAAATTGATATAACACTAGCAGGAAACAAGACAATCAACTTATATGAACAAAATTAAATATTATCTGAGCCAATATTAACATTACATTATTGTGATTTTATATTAAGGAATATTACTGGCATGGAGAAATGTTTTAATTTTTTTTTCATCAAAAAACTTCTTGGAAAGTAAAAAAACATTCCGTCATGCAATGAAATACAAAATTTTTCAACATTATTTGATGAATGCCTCCAGTTATTTAACATCACATTAATTACCAAATAAAACTTTCATCTTATGAATATTACTTCCACCTTTGTTTTATTAAAATACTCAAAAGTCCTGTTTGTGCCTCGAATATCTTTCGCTTTTTATTCACTTGATTTTCCTTTGTTTCAGCCAAAAATTCAACTTTGAATTTTAATCAAAATTAGTACATGACCTCGGTAATTATCGTCCTGCGCCCTGCGTCAGGTAAAAATAATATCAAGATGTCCTCGTCGGCTTGTTCACGTCCTTGCCGCGTAGCGTTTGCCACTCATTTTGCGTTTACTCTTTGCTAAGTCGAGCGAAAAAGGTCGCGCCAATTGTCGTTTGCTAAATTTTGCATGAAATCCTCTTTTATCCTTCGCACACGCTTCGCAAAACAACCAGAACCCCCGGCGCTTCCTTTCCAGCTATGTTTCAGAAAATCCTGTTGCTTCTACAATCACTATCGTCCTGGTTATCCTTTTTCACTTGCTGCGCTAAGCAAAAACTTCTGCAATCTCCTCTTCTCAGCGCAGCAGTTGAGATAACTTTGCATCAAGATCAACATAACTTCAAAAATATTCTCGTTTTATGATAAAAAATTTAAATACTGCCCTGTTAATCGAGTTACTTACCAAATCCGGTATCTTTGTGGCGAAAGTTTGGTTATGTTTTTATAACAGCTCGTTGTTTGCCGCGAAAGCAACTCACGTGCACATTGGGTTGCATGCAAGCGGCAGTCAAAGTTTACGACGCCACGGGAAACGATCTTATCGGTCTTCCTTTCAGGCATCTTCTTTCTCGGGCCGCCTGCAGCTAATAATAGTCGTGTGTTATGCGACCAACTTTACCCGGAGTAAGTTTTCCGCTCTTGCAGTCGATAAACTTCTCGAACGCTATCACTTGAGTCGATCGCGAGTAATGGCGGCACGTCACAGCATCGAGCGCATCCTGTGCGCGAACGCGACGATGATAAAACGATAACACTCGATGACACGCGAGTAGACGATACGTGACGTTGAAATATGGAAAACGTCGCGCGGATGCTCAACAACCGCAGGTGTGACGAGTTTTACGCATGTACACGACAGGACATTTAGTGCATCCTGCAGATGGGAACACAAAACACTAGTAACTACCCGCAGGTGACATCTACAGGGTTGAATCTATAAAAATTAGGTTTAAAACTTAATTGCAACGCAAGTTATGGCAAAAAACTGAAATATTGAGGTTATAAAATTAACAGGGTCGGATTAATAATATTTTTATTAAAACTAATAATTAAAATTATTTTTTAAGATTAATAATTATATTATTTTAATGAAAATGAATTAAATTTGCAAAATTTTCTATTTTAAAATTTTTCTAAAAAAATTTAATGCCAACCCTGTAAAACTTTTAGAAATATTACAATTCTTGCACGATTTGAAAATAAATTTGCGAATGCATGCACATAACTCGAGTGATATGTGTTGTGTGTTGCAGATCGTGCGAATCCTGCAAATCCAGCAGGATTGTGTCGCTGGATAATACAACAGTGTTCAGTAACCGCGCCACCGTGACGAGGGTTCAGTGCAGCGGTGTAATGATAACGTAATTAATGGCATGTTGGCATGCATACAATTATGTGCGCGTCGCATATGTGAAATTGGGAACACATTGTATGCAAGCGGAGCGGGACGGCGTGTAATTTTGGTTGCATCATCAATCATTTGCGAGCGCTATGAAATTGTATGCGTAAATTTATAAAGTTGGGTTTATAATTAAATATTTCATGGATTAATTGATATTTGTATGTGATTTAAACTGTATTATAAAGGTGAGATGTTGTTGATTTAGTGGTAAATGTTTTGTGGAATTATCTTTGATAGAATTTGAGTTATTTGAGTTTTTATTAGAAATTTTTTGGTGGAAATAATTTTGTGGTGTTTAGATTAGGATTGCAGACAAAGTATGAATGATTAATTATTATTAGAAAAACTTGGTAAAAATATATTTAGTACGCAATTATTTACTGATTAAATAATTAAAATTAGTAAATAATTGCATAATTATATTTATTTTTTAAATTTATAGAAAATTTAATTTTTGTTTGTTTGTACCTCTATAACTCAAGAAATACTGAACCAATTTTGTTGAAACTTTAGAACATTGTAAAATATCTCTTAAAATAGGAGATAAACTATTTCTTTTTCAAAAATAAAACCAAGAAACAAAAAGAAATTAGTTTGTTATTTTTCAAACATGTAACACGATAAAAAAGTAAATAAATTTAGAATTTACTTATTTTCAACCATAAATATATGATTATTAGATAAATATCTATAATTTATATTATATTTGAATATTAATAATGATCAGTTAATAATTACACTAGCATTTTATGCCCGAACATAACATTTACGTCCGTGCGCAAACATAATTAACTTTTTTATGAATAAAGTCATAATATCGCGTAATAAAACGTAGTAAAACTGAGCGAAAAGTACACTTTAATTTATCCCGGCAATCTGCACACATTGCGTCTAATAATGCTTTGCACACCCACATACGCCCCTAAGGGTGAACGCGTTTAATATGCTCTGCATCCTTGTGCGAAATATTCGTCGTCGCGACGTGTTTCGCCGTTTGAAGCTGCAAACTCGATTGCTGGAAGAGCGTAACACGATCCGTGTGCAACTGTAGGTAGAGCAACAGTAGCCTACATTATTACCTTGATATTCAGACGCGTATTTCACTGGTGTGCTGGTTTTGGGTTTTTGTTTTCGGTTGTCGGTTTTCGGTTTTGCGTTGGTGGTTTGTGGTTTTTGGCGCTCAGTTTTCAGATAGCGCATTGCTGTTCGTACATATTTTGTGTTGTGAGCTCAAGCTGTGAGCTTATTGGGCTTCAGGGGGTGCAATCTGTACGAGACGTTGAATCAAAATGAAACTGTAACCGAAAGCTTTGCGAGTGAAACGTGTTATTTATGAGTTTATGAATTAATACCGTTTGGAATTGCTTTCTTTGCGGATCAATAATTCCGGAACTAACTATGTTTAGAATTGCATAATTTGTTTAATAATTGTGCAAATATTAACTAATTTTGGGGTAATTTACATTTGTATTATCTATATATATAAAATTTGCGTGTCACAGTGTTTGTTTCCATACTCCTCCGAAACGGCTTTACCGATTTTTACCAAATTTTAAATGCGTATTCAGTAGGTCTGAGAATCGGCTAACATCTATTTTTCATACCCCTAAGTGATAAGGGTTGTTCACCCTTAACTTTTTTAAAATTTTTGGACAAATTCTTTTGTTTTTATTTTTTTTATAATGTGGAATTAAAAAATACATACAACCCTAAATTTTTAGTTTTTTATCACCAACCCCTATTTCTTTATAGCCATTTTAGTAATTTAATCATTTTTTATCCCGCTCAAAGAAAATTTTTATATGCGTATTCAGTAGGTCTGAGAATCGGTAACTTCATATCTTTAAGTGATAAGGGTTGTTCACCCTTAATTTTTTTTAAATTTTGGTCGAAATTTTTTGTTTTTATTTTTTTAATGTGGCATTAAAATATACATACAACCCTAAATTTTTGGTTTCTTATCACCAACCCCTATTTTTTATAATAAGTAAGTTACTTTTTGTCTACACTAAAATTTATCTAGAAACTTGAAATAATTTATATGGCAAAACAACGTTTGCCCGGTTCGCTAGTTAGTATATGATAAATACAGAATAATTAATAATAATAAATATAATTTTTTTTATTTTCACTTTTAAAGTAGTTTTTTAGAGTTTTGAGACACAAAAAGTGATACTTTAGACACGCAGGGCCAAAGTCGTGACTAAAGTACTTTATTCACGGGCTTTAGTCACGGGGTAGCGCTTTATCCACCATTCCTTTAATGAAAAACTAAGCAATTTAAAAAATTTAACACTATTAATGAAATAATTAATTTTTTTTCAAGTAAAACAATTTTTCACTTTTCTTCATGTAAATCAAACGTAAATGGTTTCACTTTACGCTATGAACACGTCCAAAGTATATCATAAACCAGCCCACTGTTATGAAAATGCGACACGGTGAGAATTACGAGGCAACGTTTGTTATTGCGTTCGAAAAGCGCTGGGGCAACATTTCCCACGTCTCGATGGAGACGATGGAGCCGGAATTCGCGCGCCGTCGAAGTACCACCGCGGAGACGGCGAAGAGGCGGCAATGAAAAAATATGATATTACAGCCCGCCGGCGTGTAGGCGCGAGTGCGTGCGAATAAAAGGAATACGCGCTATAAAAGCGCATAAATCACTTACGTAAATGCCCGGCGCCGCGAACGCAGAACAGCGTTATTATTTTACCATTACCATTACGATCGCGATTATTATTCCGGCGGAGTAACGAAACCCAACGAAACAGCGCAAAGTGAATGAAACAATGCTGAAAATGAAGCTGTAACCGACCTTAAACTGAGGGTGGAAATATTTTAAATTTAAAAGTCAAGATATATGGTAAAAAATTATAAGTGATGTGTTTTTGATTAATTTAATCAAGTCGTGTTAGTTACAGCGCTTATAACTCAAGAACTACTGGACCGATTTTGATGATCTATGATTTTTTGGATTCACCTTTACCTCAAATAGAAGAATAACTATTAAAATATAAGAAATTTTAATATACAGGGTGTTAAAAAGGAGTTTAAATGAATATATGAATTCAATCGTGATTATAGTTAAATAATTTGATCATAGATAGCTCAAAAGTGTATTATTAAAATCTGTATTTTATAAAAATAAAAATATTAATGATTTAAGACTTATTTTCATGTTAATATAGATAATTATTGCAATTAGTTCAAGAATAAATGAATACTGCAAGGTAATCAACTGATTGCACAAGTTTTTGCATCTGTATTAATATAAATGGCTGCTTTACATCAAACAGACACTTGTAAATCGCAAAAAGTACGTAATTCCAACGCAATTATCTTAATTGACCTCCGTTGCGGCTCACACATACCTGGATTTATAAAAAATGTAAAACATGTCAAACACACACTCACACTCACTCATACTCGTAATATTTTACTATATGCTCCACTTTATTTGATGTCTAGTGTACTCGTAGTGTAGTTAATGTGCATATTATTAAGTTTTATTGAGTTACAAAATACTTCGCTGCGTGAATCTGTGCGCGGCGTGTAAGTATTCGTAAGTGGCTGAGTGCTATTGAATGTTTACTTTATTTAACCCCACGAGAGTATCCAGCGCAGAGTAGACGTGTCACATTAAACATAATGATGTCGATTTTATTCCACTCATTCACTCAGATGGGATCGGATTAGATTTGCAGTTGGATTTACGCGTGCGGCGTGCGGTGTGCATTTGAACAGAACTCGAGATGTTCTTGGAATTGCGTTTTTATATTGTTATTATGAATATAAAAATTTAATTTATTTGAATAAGGTTTTAAGGGAGATTTTAAGGTGGTGATTTATTTGGTGTGAGTGAAATTTAAAAATAATGGTGCATTTAATCTCAGTTAAGGTGCGCGAATTTGCCGAATGCATTCGGCCCGCATCCAGTGCAGCGGAAGAAATTAATCAAAGTCAATCGATTCGGGAAAGTCATGAGGGGCAAGTGGGTAGAAGTGCGAATAGGGATAGAAATTGGGATTTGAAGACGGTGGTAAATAAAGCGGATGGTTTTAATGAAAACGTGGATTGTGATCGTAACAATAAACCGGAGTAAGTGTTATCAATTCATGTTCACAAATATATTGTTATATGTTTAAATAACAAGACGTTAAAGTTAAATTTCAATTTTTTTTAATTAAATTGAAAAGGTATTGATTTTCATATTTTTATTGGTAGATTTTGAGTTTTTATCTAATTTTTTAGCTTTTTATTTTTATTTCTATAGTTTTTGGTTTAAATTTTGATAGTTTAAGCAATTTTTTATAATATGTAATTGAAAAACGTGTTATTTTTAAATTAGAATTGTATGAAACAAGTCATACATTACAATTTATTTACAAAGAACGAGTTTTTCATGTTAAAATCTCACGATTCTTATAAATTAATTGTGAAAATAACAACTTAGTACATGAAAACAAAAACCTGACATGAAAACCAGGAATTTTTTGAATTTAATTATAATTTACTATATATTTATAAGCTTATTTGGTTGCCTATGTTAAAGTACGAGTATACTATTTAAAAATTATACTTTTATTCCTGTACGCTAACTCTACTCGTACATTGCAAACTTTATTACACAAGTATTTTTCATTAAATGCTTGCCTTTTCAACGGCTTCGCCTGCGGACTACAATTGTAATTTGAAACTTACAGAATACCAAATTGTGCATATCTGTACACGAGAAAAGAACTACTTCTTTCGTATTAAACCGCAAGTTGTGCAAGTTTTTAGAAAGTTTCGAAGTTGCTTTATTTACCAGCACGAGAAAGCACGCCTGCAAGTTTGTGAGCTGCATAGTTACCTCGTATTATTACACTTGCTCATTTTATGCATTTTTTATGCAACCAAGTAGCCAAAAAGGCAAATAGATATATATTGTATGCTGTACTCGTATTTGGTGTTAATTAAAAGCGGAATAGCACGAGTGGAACGCGGAAAAGTTGACGTGGAAGATAATGCAGCGATGCGAAAAGTTTTCAACTTGTAAAGTCAGTTGAGTTGAATTTTGGCGCTTTGTTGTGTGGAAGTTAATATGTTTTTGATATACTCATGAAGTGATGCTTTCCACCTTTTAATGAAAGAACTTTTTGACGGCGAGCAATAACAGGAATATTGATAGAAATTAAATATCATTTTGTTATAGTTTTGGTGTATATTTATTTATTAATTTTGAGTTTAGTTCAAAAGTTGTGTTATTGATAAATAAAAAATGATTGTTGTTTGCTTTAAATTAAAATTAATAACAAATTTTATGTTTTTTCATCGAAAATTTTAGAAAAATTCATAAACAAGTAAATTATAATACAAGAACAAACAATTTTTAATAAATGTTGAAGTATAATTAAATAAAAATTAATATTTAGAAAAAAATATAGTAGAAATTATATTATATTGCAAAACTTTAATCAGAAAAATTAATATTCTTGAATATATTACTACTAGATCATAAAACTACAACATAAATATTTACACGCACGTAGATTTTATTTAATAAAAAACGTGAGTAAACTTTGTCAATCTACAATCCAGTTTTTATTGATTCTCAAGGACGTTCATTTCATTCATTCGATGTTGCATGTATTTATTTATTTCAACACGGAATTCCTAGTTTAATGTAAATTTCTTAAACTTTATATTGATTTAATTTAAAACCGAACGCATAAAAAATATAACGTGTAATAATTAAACAGTTAATCTTAAAATCACAACAAAAAATATGAAACCACTTAAATATTTTTTGCTGCTAATTGCTCGCCTTGTTCGTGTTGCTCTTGTTTCGTGTTTTGTGATTGAAACCTGGCGGTTTTCGGCACAGCGCCCAATTTATTACGCTTTAATAGCTGCGTAACGCAATCCTAACCTAACTCGGACGCCCGTCGGAGGTTTTACGAGTCACGTATCTCACATAAACGCCGCAGACGTCTAAAAACACATTCTTACCGCCCAAAATAATGGAAAATAACATTTCACTCAATTGGCTTAATGAGCACCAGTAAAACAGAATACAGAAATTAAACTTAAACAAAACACAATTAAATTTGTCTCATTTAAGTAAAAGTAAACAAATTTAAAGAGTATATGCATTCGCGAATAAATGAATCACTCAAGCAAGAAATTGAATTCAAGTTTACAAGAAAAAATCAAGAATAACATAACAAACAGAAACAGAAAACGAAGAAAAAGAAAAGAACATGTTTTGTGTTGAGTTCAATTCTCTACAGATCAAGAAATATGTTGAGTATTGAGAATGGGGGAATTACAACACAACGACAAACCAACATGCAAATCATTGCGTCAATTCCGATACAAACAAGTTTGCCGTATTTTATTTCAATTCCACGCGTGTCTTAATCGTGAACACATTCATCGGATAAACTAGTAAAACGAAAGTAGTTCTCGATGATCATTACTACACGCGCGGTGTTTAATTCTTTTGTTTTGTGATTTATTTAAATTTAAAAATAAAAAATTGTGTTTTAAATTTTATTCTCAATGGAATCAAAACCTTTCAGTTTAGTGCCCAGTGTAGCGGATCACGATGAATCGGAAACCGGAAAAATTGAGGCGGAATTTGCGCCGAGTGAACGCTGGCGGATTTGGAAGAATGTGCTCGCGTTAGGATTTGCATTTATGTTGCATTTTACTGCATTTTGGGGCGCTTCCAATCTTCAGAGTTCGATTAACGCCGACGAGGCGCTGGGAACGTTTACGCTGGCTGCCATTTATGGAAGTTTGCTGGTATCAAATATTTTTCTTCCTGTGATTGTCATCAAGTAAGTTATAAAATAAAATATTATGACTAAAAATTATTTTGACATAGTGTAGGTTTGGTTATGTGTAGGGTAATGTTGGTTGCCTATATTAACATCACAAAATAATGAATTCTAATATTTTATTTTTCAGATACTTAGGATGCAAATGGACATCATCGCTATCATTAATAGCCTACATGCCATTTATTATCTCCCAATTCTATCCACGTTTCTACACGATGATCCCAGCAGGATTAGCAGTGGGTCTTGGCGGAGGCCCTCTCTGGTGCGCAAAGTGCACTTACCTGACAGTTGTAGCTGACGCCTACTCACAAATTGTAGGCGTTGCAAGCGATGTAATCGTCACACGCTTCTTCGGCGTCTTCTTCATGTTCTATCAATTTTCCCAAGTCTGGGGCAATTTAATTTCTTCCGCAGGCAAGTGTGATATTTTTTTGTAAATTTCCCAACAGAAAATAATCATATGCTATCGTGAAAACATATCGGTGTTGATATTGAGTATATTGGGTATCGATTTGCACATAAAATTTCCAATATGCCATCAATGTGCGATGCGCGCGATATTTTTGCTCTTGTGTATTCGCCGCCACAGTTTTCGCTCAGCGGGCGGAAATCTTCAACCTGCGAATCCCGCATCGCAAAGCCGCTTTTCCGGTCGCTCGCGCACTTGATCTCAAGCGGCCGCATTTTGGCAGGAGACAACAATCTACCGCGACAATATTTTCACTGCTTTTTTTCGTTTTTTTCTTATAAAAAAGCAAAAAAAAATCAAATCATATCATTTCATACACAAACAAACTCAACATAACCTTAAAATATTATTATTTTAGTTTTGTCAACGGATGTAACACCAGCGCCATCTTCAAACACTTCAATAACCTCACTTACCACAATTTTACCTGATTTTGAAAATAAATCACAAGAAAACATCTGTGGAGCGAATTTTCATCCATCTCGAATCGAACCAACTGAAAACCCAAATTTGGCGCCTCCACCAATGGAGAAAATCCATCTGATTGCAGGAATTTATCTCGCCTGCATGATTGTGGCGTGTTTGATCATCGCCATATTTGTGGATTCATTATCTAGGTGCGTAAATCATTGCCTAAGCCTTTGTTTCTGGATATAACCGCATTTATAAATCTATCAGATACAATAAGAAAAGAACAGGCAGCGGAAGCGGATTATCCGGCGCGCGGCTGCTGGCGGTCACGATGCGTCAGCTGGGCAATCCGTATCAGCTGCTGATACTGCCGATCACGATGTTCATCGGCGCGGAGCAGGCGTTTCTCGCTGCGGATTACACTGCCGTGAGTTGTTTTCCTGCTTAAATTGTTTTCCCAGGGGAAGAGGGTTAATGAATTGGTAGTCTTTTAATTTAATCCTTGGTTTCAATCAACGAAGGATTTTCAATTGATATTTAAGAGGATATTACCAATTTGTGAAATATCCTAGTGGTAGTAATTTTCTTTTGAAGAAATTTTATTGGTTGCCTATAGTTAGAGCAATAAACTCAATATTTAAACTAAAAGTTTGAATAACTTTGGTTTGTTGTAAAAATATAATTGTTTTAATCATAAATTTATATATTTTATTCGTTTTATAGCAAAATATTGATGATTTAAACAATTATTTACGTTATAATATCTTTTTTACTTCAATTTCATGCTTTCACTATAGGCAACCCACATTGTAGCCAGAAGTTGAAAACTGCGTTTAAATTTTAAAATGTCAATAACACCGCAAATTATTTATAACTTTAGCTTCAAATTTATTAACCTAATTTGTTTATATTCCTATTTTTATAGTCTTTTGTTTCCTGTGGCTGGGGAATCCAAAATATCGGCTATGTAATGATTTGTTTTGGAGTTTGTAACGCAATCTCAGCTCTGTGCACTGGAAGCATAGTGAAACTCACAGGACGAGTGCCTGTATTAATTTGTGCACTTGTAATTCACATTGCACTCATTCTTATTCTACAATTTTGGGCACCAGACGCCACAAATACCTCAATGTACTTCATTGTTGCTGGATTTTGGGGTCTGGCAGACGCCATTTGGCTTGTACAAATTAACTGTACGTAAAATTGATGCGTTTTTATCAAATTTTGTAACTATTTACTGTTTTTCTTTAGCGCTTTATGGAATATTATTCCCAGGACGTGAAGAAGCTTCCTACAGCAACTTCAGACTATGGGAAGCCTCTGGTTCAGTGATAACATACGCCTACAGTCCTTATTTAAGTACAAAAATTAAAATCAACTTACTTTTGGGTTTGTTAGTAGTTGGTTTTGTCGGTTACGCCATTGTTGAATATTTAGAAAGAGGAAGTCGCTCCAGAAACGATCGGATAATTGCAGAAAAGAACAAATTTCAGTTGGTTGCTGCATCTGCTGATAATAAGAACAAAACTAAACGTGAAATAGCAAATTAAACACGCGGAGATAAAATATTTGACTTGAATGAATGGCGTCTGATGTAATGATGATTGCCTACAATGAATTATCGAACTTAATCAATAACAATGTAAATATTACATTTAAGAGAAAGATCATAAATAATTAAATGGTGTATAAATATTGCCTGCGCATTTATACACAATAAATACGAATAAATACAATAAATATATAATAATAAAATATTAAATTTGCTATTTTGTTGTAGGCAACCCAAATAACACGTATACACTTGAAACCAACAAGAAAAACGTAGTTATACTGTTTGGATATTTATTTATTAGTTAATCAGCTTAATTATAATTTATTCGGTATACATCTACATCACGAACATTTACAATTGTCATCATTCACATTATACTGCCTAATTTACGTGTTTTTTTTTACCGCATTCTCAGTTTAAAGTTAAATCTTCGAGTAATTTCATTCTCAAAAATCATTTGACGCATCTTCCGTACGTTTACAGTCTGTCAGACAATACTTGCGTGTTTTGGCAACTAGTTACTTACTCATACTAGAATTATTTCGATATTTACACTATTCGATAACAAAAACGCCAAATTAGTCAAATTAAACTTGCAAAAGTTTTTATCATTTATACGCATAGCTTACGAGCTAATAGGAACTTTGGTTTCTTTCGGAGGACAAACTTTCAGCAGTTGAAGTTACATCATCAACTTGATATCATTTGTCCTCCTACTGCTTTTCTCTCAACGCTCAAAGACTCATCATCTCAACGAGACTAATAAACGAAATGAATTCTACACACGCACGCACACATATTACTTTTACCTTAAGATTAGTCATTCGTTCGCGCGTACAACTTAGAACCTAATAAATAATATACAAGTTTGTACACGTGATCCTTACGTAGCTAAACATAACCTCAATCGTCGGCACCACTAGGTTATAATAATACTCTCTAACGATAGTGTTTTGTTTTAGTTTAGTTTTGTTATGTACATTTGTGTAGGTTTGGAAATAGTCGATTTGGTTTATCATTTTCATTTTTCATTTAAAGCCAAATGTTAATTTTTAAAATTCGTTATCACATTCTTATCGGATGCGCCAATTGATTGCTTGGTCATCCGTGGTAAAATTAACAGTGCAAAAAGGCCAAAGAGTCAATTTCTTTTTTTGTTCGATTGTTAAACACAAAAATAATTTTCATTTGTCGGAAATTACAGATGCCTGTAATTTGTCTGTAACATTGGTTGCCTAATAATGGTATACTTTAGTTATGAAAACTAGCTATGTCTAGAGTTTAATTACGCACAATGCAGTTAACCACACTGTAGTAATGTACAAATCGTTTACGTATACTTGGTTGCCAGCATTCTCAGTCTTACAACTAAACCATGCCTTTGGACATCATGCGTACGGTGTTTTTCAGTGCCTGCCGCTTATTGCAGAACCATATTCGGATCACTTCACGCTCATAACCTAACTGATGCGCTAATCCAGTAATTTCAGTACCTAAAAACATCAAGATTAATATTATGTATATATTTATTTATATTGATGTATTTTATACTAACCAGATGGATGTGTGTTTCTTTCAAAATGTGCATTTAGCAATTCAAGCGCCTGTGGAGTAAAAGACGTCCGACGTTTACGTTTCTTCGACGGTTCGATACCAATAAAATCCGTTAGATGGTTCTGACCGCTTTTGTATCTGGAATAAATGCTACGCCATTTGATATAAGTTAAGACAAGTTGGGTTATGTTTGTGTACTAACCTATCTTCAGCTTCTTTCATCCATCGTTCCAGCACCGGTTTAATTTTCTGCGCACTTTTCGGTGTGATATCCAGTTTCTCAAACCTGTTGAAACAAAATAACAAATGAGTAAACAATTATTAATTAATAAAAATCAAATAACGCAGTTTTGACTCTTTTAGCGGACACCAGGACACTGACAATGAAGAATGATTAAGTTCGCTTAAGAAATATCACTGCTTAAAACAATTGCCAGTGCCCTGGCGCGCCAGCGCCGCCATGTACGAAACAAAATGGCGACCGGTTTGATTCTTCATCGGTTTTTCTCAATTAAAAATAAAAATGACTTAACATAGCTACATACATTGCCTGCTGTTGGGAGGAAAGCTGCGCGGCGGCAAACATCTGAGAGGCCAGGGCACTGGGAACAAACCAAGCAGTTTACTATTTAGTTTGAACCGCATGAGAAGCAGGAAAAATAACTCGTTAGAGATTGTAAGGCTTGTAAGTTGTAAGCGCCCTTTTATGCGTATTATATAAACTTTTGAGACGTGTGTGCACTACCCACCTGCAAATTGCGCTTTGACTGTAAGCGGGCCCTTCGGTGACGCTCAACGCCTGCCCGACTTGCGTCTGCGTTAAACCCAGTGATAATCGGCGCAGTTTAAACGCCTTGGCGAAGTCTTTTATCTCGTCCAGATTGATTCCATCCACCACGTTACTGCTTGTTTGGTTTATTGTAGGTTGGTCTAAAATTTAAATTTGAATTATTAGGTTGGTACACGTGTTTGCAACTTGTCACGCTTGTTTGCGCATCTTTGGTGTGCGTGCGATATTACCGACGCAACAAAACAAGCGGGAATGTTGAGATAAAGCGTCACGTTTTTTACATTTTTGCAGTGCGGGTTAAAAGTGAAAGACTTTAATGGTTTTTGGGTGAATTGTGCCGTGGAAGAACTTATTTCGAGTAAAAGTAAGTCTCTTTCATCATTATTTTAATAAATATACATGTATTTTGATGATTTTGGTAAATTATGTTGCAAAAGTTGTAAAAACTAAAAATTCTTGGTTAACCTTTAACAAAAAGTTTGTTTACGCGTGATTTGAGTATCTGCTGCACAAGTTTGGGATGTATTAACTCGAGTTTAGAGATTTCCTCGTGTTTTAACGTATTGGTCACAATAAAACACCGAGTAATTAACATAAAATGCAGAAACAGTTCAAAATATTTTCAAAATAATTACAATTTGGTTTATAATTATTAAAATAAAACAGTCATCAACATAAAATTTGCTCATTTCGACGTGGAACTTAATAAATAATATATTATTGAAAGAATCACAGCTCTAGTTGATTGCATTGTTGAATAATTAATGAAAAATGTATCCTGTTTTTAATAAACCGTTACTCTAATTTGAGGTAATGTGTGTTGCCTATACTAGTACAAACGTTACGGCCCGGTCGTAAATGAAACAAATTATATACTCGTACCTACACCGAAAAGTTCAACTTTTAACTGCATGTTTACTTGAGTAATTATCATTCGGTGATTAGCGCCCGGGGCCGGAAAAAAGTCGCGCACGAACCGGTCGCACACTTTCTAGCGCTTCGTGTTGTGTCGAAATCGATATAATTAGCCCGCGGAGCGAGACAATAAGAGACAATAAACCCTATCGGACAATTACGATTCACATGACATATCATTACTTATCGTTCGCTATTAACGTCGGCGATGTGCGCGCCGGAGAGTCAAGCGGCGGTAGCGGCGGCGGCAATAAAAACGACGTCTGCGTAATTTCCTTAATTGTCAATTAATTAAATTACATAAAAGCGGGGGCATTAATAATAATTAAATTGTAATTTGTACGGACGCCATGCACATACACAGTCTGCATCATTATACACATGTGTTTTATAAACACCGAGCACTAAACTCAATATTCCCCTAAAAAACACGTCTAAAAATTACAGAAATCTGTAAAAATTTTAAAATAAAATTTTAAAAGTTCTTCAAACACTCTGTATGTATATTTATTTGTTTGTTATTGTTGTGTGTGGGTACCAATGGGTTATTTCGCTTCGAATCGCCGTCCCGTACGTTCGGTAATTAATCATTATATCATCTGCAGTCGGATTAATTAAGTCTAATGATGATGACGATAATCATTACGCTTTTATTATTACTCTACGCTTGCGACTTTAATTTCATTGCAACGATGAAATTACATTCGATTTCCAACACACACAAACACCCAAACAAAGACAAACATCCGCCATGTTTACTCTTATACTTATACTTACTGGGTGAGTCGATGAGTAAATCCGCCGTGGAGCTGTCATCGCATCGCGGCGATAAAGATGGCGAGCGTTTCTGACTAGTATGACTAGTGTGACTAGCATTCGTCGCGTTGGAAAGCGGCGCCACTTGCGATGCTGTCACTGTGGATGTTGCTGAAGTCGCAGTGGCAGAGGGCGCCACTGATGGTGGTAACGATGTGGTGGTTATCGTAAGCTCGCCATTACTAGCACTCAGACGGTTTAACGTGCTGGACATGTGATTCGGCGGTGAAGAGTTGCGACTGAGCGATGTCGACTGATGTAGCTTACTCTCGGGGTAATGATTGGCAATTGTCAACTCTCGGGAGATTTCTCGGTGTGTAGGGGGCGCTTCACGACGGTGTGACGTTGAAAGTGGTGGGGAGGCGTGTGTTAGTAGACCAGGAGCAGGTCCGGGTGGTGTTAGCGGTAAAGTAGGAAGTGAAAGGTTGTTTGCTGCAGCGGCAGCCGCATGCGCATTGGATAATAATTGAGGGAGAGTTTGAAGGAGTTGTTGGGCGGCTGTTGTTGTTCCATTTGATAATAAATGTGATAGATTCGTCGAGTTAAACAATGGTGACATGTTTGATGGAACGTGGTTACCATTTGTTGTCGGTGTTGGTGTTGGTACTAAATTTAAAACAAAAATTAAATTTTATTTTTAATTTTAAAAGAAAAACTTACATGTTGGTATACTATTTGCCGCGGGCATATTATTTTGACCTTGGGCCATCGCCTGAAGGTTAGCCAAAGATGTCTGCACGACTTGCCCGTTGTTCAACGCTAGATTCACCATTTGATCGGTGCTATTCACGTGGTTGACTGGAATTGTTAAGATTGTCTGCGTTGCAAGACCTAATTTGAAAAATATATCAATTAATTATATTTTTATACAATGGACACACTGTATATTACTTAATAATAAGATTAATAAGATAATCGTGTTAAACTTACCCTGTGAAGTGGGTATAAGTAATTGTGCACCTTGAATGCCTTGCACCAGCTGACCGGAGGCCAGTATGAATTGCGGCATGGGTGCAGGTTGTTGTGGGGCGGTTGCGGCCGCCGCCAGCGAGGTTTGGAGCTGTGACTGCAGCGCGGCCGCTGCGTTGTTTTCCGCATTCCTTTGCGCTACTGCGAAAGCAAACACTTCAAAGTTTAGCATTTTAAATAAATTTTGCCGCCTCCGGCTGTAGGATAATATTTAAGTCAAGATAATAATCTTATATTGCTTATTTGAGGTTTAAAAAAATGTTTTACCGTTTGAGGAAGCTCCGACGCTTAAATTTAAAGGCGCGTGGAGTTGTTGAGTTGCGGCGGCGGCGGCTGCCGCTGAATTTGCCATACTCTGTAGACCAGCGGCTAGTGACGCCACCTGTGGGAGACTTTGTAGCGATGCTAGACTTTGCAAGTTTTGTAGAAGACCTAAACCAGCCACTGAAAATGAAATAAAGATATATTTAAACCAAATCGTGTATTCTAAGAAAAATAGTAGTGTCTACAGTAAGTTTTTAGTAAATTTTTAAAATCATGTTAGTTACGACGTTAATAACTCAAGAACGGCTGGACAGATTTTGATGATCTATGACTTTTTGAATTCGTTTTTGACCCCAATAGCAGAATAACTATTAACATATCAAAAATTATTATTGAAAGGGTCTTAAATATGGGATCAAAGTTAATATAGAGGTTTAATAAGAATTATAGCTAAATAATTGAATCCTTGATAGCGCAAATGTGTTATATTTGAATTTCTCATAAAAAAACTAAAAACTACGCGACTAGTTCTATATAAATATGAATGTGAACACATTGTACGTTACTCACTCGCCCCGTTGAGATGAGCAGCGGCGGCAGGTTTGATATCCACGTCGTCGGGGCGACCGCAACCGCCGCCGGCGGCGTTGAGCAGCTTGTGCACCGTGGACGACGTCGTCATTGACGTGGCCGTCTGCAGGTCCTGCGCGTGGTGCGTGTGTAAGTCTATCCCTGCATCGACGCCCATCGTCGTCGCCGGTTCCGGCGACCCGCAACTACTCTCACGATCACTTTCCTGCAAACACAAGAATCGATTCATTATAATTACCAGCAAAAGTCAGATGTGAATCATTCAAAATTTGAAAATATATGAATCACCAGGATAACTCATAAGGAAATTTTATGGGTAATAGAAATTAATAGGAAAGTGAAAACGAAAGGGACTTAAAGAAATATTGGAATACTGATGAATAATCCCTACTAATATTATAAATGCGAAAGTCCTGATGTTTGTTACACTTTCACGCAAAAACTACTTAACCGATCATCATGAAAATTTGTACACATATTCTTAGTGGTCGCCGAAAGGTTATAGGCTACTTTTTATTTAATAAAAAAAAAATATTTTTTAAATAAAATAAAGAAATTGTTTAGCCAATAATACCTCTGCATCTGGCTATTTGACTACTTTAACGCCACCTAGCATTCCAGCAATGAAGCTCAAACCTAAGTACTATAGTACCATCACACTGTATTATCACACTGTATTACCGACAGCTACGTCAACATCAAATCCAATTGACTACACTATGGAGACTGTACACTATACTTCCATAGACTATACTTTCAGCCATTTTAAACTTCCCGCCATTCTACTTCATTGTTACTTCTTCAGTGACTACAGACGCGTACGGAAGCAACTTCATTATTTTAGATATTCGCGAGCGGAGCCGCGGGTTAAAGCTAGTCTTAAATAAAATTAAGTCATTGGTTATTTTATATAAAAAAAATTTAAAAATCTTTAAAACAGGAAAAATTGTTGTGTAGGTCATTTTTGCAGCTATTTTGAATCAAATTTTAGTGAGAAAGGTGTCAAATTTATTAATAAAGCTACTTAAACAAAAATATCTAATTATAACCCTAATAATCTTCTAATAATTAAGAAAAACAATGATTTTGCTTCATTTTTACACAATTTTATACAGTGTGTCCAAAAATAGATCTAATTTTTCCATTTTGAAGTCCACACTCTCTATATCTGCATAATGATACCTAAAGAATATACAATGTGTCCAAAGCAAAAGATTTGCTTTAAAAAATTAATAGATCTAATGAAGTTTGCATGCGATTACACGCTCGCTGCTCATCGTCATCGTCGTGCGCACGTCATTGTGTCAATAATTAATTACATGCGCGCCGCCGCCGGCCGCCTCCCGGCGGTAATTTTCGTTCGGCCGCGAGTCCGTGAGCCGGGCGCGCGCATAATTTATGTAACTGCTAGATAAAGAGCTGCGCACTCGTTCCGCGCGGTGTAATTAACGTTTTGTTGCAAAACGTCCGCGGCGGCGTCGTCGTCGCCGTCCGTCGTCGTGGTCGTCGCTGCACATGCGTTAATCTACTTCGCGGAGAGCGAGCTAATAATTTTTAATTAATTTATGATTAATGATGGTTAATAACACATGTTCGTGACCGCTTCATTTCGATTTACATAATAAACTTACTTCGGTGCGCGGAGGGCACCGGCAAAAAAGGAGGCGGAATGAAAAAGGAAAGCCGTGGGTACAAAAAGTAAAAAGGGATTGCGCGAAACAGCAATACGTTCGTGTAATGTAATGAATACTTAAGGCGGCATATTACTAATTAATAAAAGAGAAGTTATCGCTATGAATTACTCACAAATTGTTTGAGAATTCCACATATAACGACGTGTAAATCATTTTAAGTGTATAATTATGAAGGAGGTATAAAAATTTTAGTTAAAAATTAAAAATTAGAAAAATTTCGCATTAATTATCAAAATTATGAAAGAAATTTTTTTTTTCTAGTTTCAACTTTAAAGCTCCACTTTTTCTACGGTTTTGAGGCACAAAAAGTGGTACTTTATACACGGTCGTGACTAAAGTACTTTAGTCACGGGTTTTAGTCACGGGGTGAATTTTTGCTTTTAGTGAGATTTAAATAAATATTTAAAAACCTAATATTACCCCTTAAGATTTATCATGAGAAACTCTTATTCAACTGCTTTCTTCATGTACCGTCGCCATTTTTAATTTCCTTCATAATTTATACCGCGTAATCATTATCTTCCTTGCATAAACTATACATACGATATATGTATATGCATTTGCAACTCGTTATTCCATACGCGATTATCCCATTATCGAGTTGATCGCGCACGTTGTTTAATTTAAAAATTTCAAAACTGTTGGCGCGCTCTCTGTTTATCTCGTGCAGTGGCGCGCGATATTTCGTTAATCGAAAGACCAACCTCGGGTGCAATTGCGAATTTAACGGCGGTGTCTTCGACGGTCGCCGATCGCCGCGCGTTGTTTGCGTTAATAAATTGCTAATTAGCGCTGTAAAAACACGAGTAGCGGCGCGACGCTCGAGGCGCGCGCTAATTTTATGCATTAAATCGCGTTATTTATTACTTGTACGACACACACATTCAGCAAAAAAATGTAATAATACATCAGCAAAATCATACGTGTACAAAGTGTTCAAATTTAAAGTAATTAACAAAAATAATATTGGAAATTATATGAAATTATAAAGAAATACAGTGTGTTCATAGAAAATATTACAAAGAGGACAAAAAATTCAGAATTTTAATTAAAAATAAGAGACTTTAACGCCATCTAGATTTGAATTATATAGCTATAACTACGATTTTACGTTAATTTCAACTTTCATCCCTTATTTAACACCCTTCCAGTTAAATTTTTGCGATAAAAAGCAGTCTATATTATTTTCCATTATCTTATATATCTCTACACCAAATTTTAACAAAATTGCTCGAATAGTTTTTCCGTTAAAGCGACACAAACATACAAAAACACATTCGCATTTATAATATCACTGAAAAATTATATTTTGCGATGTTATATTTTTGCTTGGTGGGCGAAAAATTAAAATTTTAATTTTTTTACCTCTTGTAGTATAAGTAAAGTCATAAAATATTCCGAATGTAATTATCCTGTCGCGCAAATTTGTCTTCGATGCCTCGAGGGCGACACATCGATAAGCGCGTCTCGCCCTCGACTCCTCGATAATTGACTGCTTACACGCGGAAATTGCCTTTTTAAACCCTTCTTAAACAACTTACCAAATTACCTCTCCTTTCCCATCCCAGTGAAAAAAAATACATGAGAAAAAAACCAGGGCCGGTTTAATAATATTTTAAATAATAACCCAACAATTATTCTGATTAATGCTCATTGTGCGCGCGTACAGGATGAAAATTATCGCGTAGTGGTGCTGTTACACGATAACTTAACCCTGCGGCTACTAGCTGCGTCGTAGGTGGTGGTGGTGGTAGTGGGGGGCGGCGGCTGGTTTAAGGTCCGAGGCCGGGGCAGGCGTTCGAAATCGCATTCGCAAGTGTACATACATTTCGTATGCAAGTGGAATTAGAATGTATAATCTATTCCTGCGAGCCGAGCGCACATAATGATAATTCGCGCCGCTTCCACCCGCCCCCCCACCTCTGCTTTCTTCACCCCACAGCCGGCCGCCGGCCGTAATTTCACCCCGACGCCTCACCTCATCTCTTCGAGGAGTGAGCTAACGGACGCTTTACTATCGAACTAATAGCTAACTGCTAGTGTGTTTACATACAGTGTGTCCGGAGATAATTTACGTCAAAAAAATAAATTAACTTTTAAAGTTTATTTTATTTGAATTTTACAAAATTAAATTTTTTGTTTTTAAGAAGTTTTATGTTGTGGGGATGAAAATTTTGTGTACACCCTGTATATAATCTGAGCGGTGGGTATCTCCGGGTTGTTGTTCTAGCGATGGCCAGCCGAAGCATAATAAGGCTTTGTTGCTTACGTAGATATCGCGAGAGAGGTTGGTGCCGCCGCCGTCCTGGGGGGTGGTAGTGCGGCGGCGGCGGCGGGGGTGGCAGGCAGCCGAGGGTATACAGCGGAGGGCGCGCGCGCTCCGTCGGTGCGACCAGCGGCCAGGCGAGAGCTCTTTGTGTAGTTAGTGTAATTAGTGGCCCCGCGCGCCGTTCGCCGCCTCCGCCGCCTCCTGCCCCCGTTCAACCGGACCGTGCCCGTCCGACCGACCGACCGAAACGCTCGTCCCTCTCGACTACCTTATTTAAATGCAAATGAGCTTCATTTCGCAATATTAATGTGCCCCACACCCGACGACCGACCGCCCCCTCTGCCGTCGTCTCGCTTCTGACCAACTTTGCACACACACACACACACACCAACTGAGTTATAAACGCAGACATTGAAGCGAATGTATGCACGGACACCTCGCGCCGAGTTTCAACCCTTTCGTCCACACACACACACAAACACACACACGAGTAGGGAAAGGGGCGGCGGTTGCAAACCGAGGGTAGCGTACACACATGCATTGTATATTCCCAGATATATATTTGAATTAGTAGGAATCGAGCGGGCACGCTGCAGCGCTCCCGAGATGTTCAAGGGGCGGGGGTGAAGGGGTGAAAGGGGTGCGAATGGACGGGCCGCCGCTAACGGTTCGATATCGGCGGCAGCGGCGAGTAATGAGCAAAGACACGAGGACATATTCGCGAGTGTAATTATAAAACACAGTTTTGTTATGGTTATGCAACCAAACAAACACACCAAACACGTAAATTCATTGCTTTTTATTTCGTATAGCTATTATTAGGTATTGTATACTTGGTTGCCTATAATAAACCAAATTGTACATGCAACTTGCTTTTGACGTTGGGGAATTATGCACGACGAGGTCGCTAATGAATGCAAATCGCTTTGTTTCGCCGTTTTGTTAAATTATTTTGAATTATTAGCAAGCCGTGGCATGAGGGGTTGTGTAAGGGGGTGGGTTTGCAAGTGCATTTTCGTAATGTTCACGTAATGTATTCATACTTAACGGGCGCGACTCGTTTCGCTATCTTTCGGCTATCTTTTGTGTCGCTACTTAAAACATTATGCATATTATGCACGACGATGCACATTGCGCCCCGTTGTTTGTGTTGACGATGGTTTTCCTTCGTGCCTTCGTCAAAAACGCAACAGAACAGCGCAAATTATGCGCGACCCACATACTCATCGGAGTAAAAAATAC